ACGTCGTTGCCACACCGGTAACATAAGTTTCAGCGTACGACACGGCGTCGACAGCATTGAAAGCAGCGCGAGACAAACAGGACATCCCCAGCGGGACATTTTTCTCCTGATTATCGCGCGCGGGCGCTGCTTGCGTGAATGAGTGCGCACGTCCATCCGTGTACGACTCCATGCGTTACGGCAGGCGGCACGACTTTGTCCGTCGTCAGTCTCGTCGCGCAGAACTTGATGCAGAACTCCTCTGCGGGACCCGGCGGCGGCGGCGGCGGCATCATTCGTTGCAGAAGTTGTTGCGGAACGACGCCAGACAAACACAATGGCGGCTGACCGGCGACTGCAGGGCTAGCCGACCACAACAATGCCAGCAACACCTCATTCCCTAATCATCGCGAGCTGTCCGGGACACGTCATAAACGTCATGATATGGTAAGTGACTCTTTTGCTTGTGAAACAGCTACAGGCCACCATCCAGTGAGCTCCACGTCCTGGTCCAGAACGCTCCTCGACCCGGAACCCGATTTCGTAGTGTGCTCTTCGATCTGTGCATACCCGCCATGTCGCTCACAGCGATTGCGTCGTGGGCCGCCCGTTTCGCCAACGTCTCCTGCTTCTTCTCTGCCTCACATTGGGAAAATGAGCTTGGACGATGATGGAATGGAAGACTTCGTGAGCGAGCCGTTGTCCGCAAGGACAGACAGCTTTCCCAAACTTGGAAAAGCGAGGGGGCAGAGCGACGGTAGCGGCCGAGTTCGCTAAATATTTCGCATTTTAGATTTCCGACTCGCACCGGGTCGGCCGAGCTATTGGCTGAATACTGTGGGACGGGAACCTAAGCCGCCGATCGGGGAAGGCGGGAATCGAGGGAGGAAGGAATGGCGAGTCCCCTGTGTTCCACCCGACAAACTGAGCTTCTTCGATGCGTTGAATAAAGACAACGGCTTCTGCCGGAGAGATCATATTTCACCGAAGCCTCTCGAACGACCGAAATCACCGTCCTTCACAGACTACATCGACTACATTCCGTCTACTGCTCTCCTCGTCCCTCGATATCCGTCTCATAAATAATCTGAGCTCAGCCTTATCCTTGACCTGTCAGCCTCAGACAGACCGGTTCTCGGCAGCATTGCTCCGATGCTCAGGCCTCATGATATCTTTCCGCCGGAGCTGACTGTTAGACAAAACAAGAGAAGTAATCCCGGAGGTCTCTCGAGCCCGAGACACACGGAAAAGGTCACAGGCACAGCATATGCAAGCCCAAGACGAGAATGAGGTAGTATCTAAAAACTCGGTCTGTCTCTTGGGAGCGCGCCGTCTCGTCGTTGTCATCCTTAACGAGCGATTTAATCTTAGTTAGTTGAGGCAAGGATTTTTTTGTCATGAATTCCATGCTCTTGAGCGAACTCCTGTTAGCACATCATCAGAAGGAGACGCAGGGAAGGTACTTTGTGGAAGCAGCGAAAGGAGGGAAAACACGAGACGGCAAGGGAAGAGTTGCTGTGGGGGTGACTCTGTAGGTAATGAATTGAATCAGAAGAGCTTCGCAATCTTCGGAGCCGAACGGTGTATGCAGGATCTGAGGATTTCGACAAAAAGAGCGATCGAACCTTAGCGACCTCAGAGTCTCGATTGAGCTCCGATTGATGACTAGTTGAATCGACACGATGCCGACGTCCTGTGGTGGCCGAATGGGTATTCGAGGTCCGCACACTCGGCGGGATCGAAAAGTCTTCTTCTGCCGAGCAGGATAACCCCCCCTCCCTTTTCCCCGGGAGGACCTGAGTGTGAAAAAGCCCTTCTGTCTTCCGTGAGGTTTCTATTCTGACGCCTCACGAGCTAGGGCTATCATTGTATTTTCTTTGGGTGCTCCTTAAAATGATCTGCCCCTCGCCTTCTCCTCCCTCAGGTGCGAGCCGAAGTTCGGTGCCGAGAAGCGCGAGAACGATACCCACCTCAGATAGCAAGGAAATCTCCCTGATTCGAGCAGCGATAGCCAAAAGTCTCTGATCACACTTGTGAGGAATCTAACTCGGATTCGCTATCATCGACTCGCTTCGGATCGTTTGACCTACGGGCGGATATTCCGTATCCGCGTCACGGGAAACTTTTTCCACATAAATATGTACATACATGCGTTCCAGTTGAGTCTGAAAATCTTTTCCGCGCCACTGAGTCTCAACGCCCCCCGACCCATGTTCTTGATTCATCCGAGAATAATTCACCAGTCGAACTGAAGTTGCCGAATATTTTCCGAGGAAACCATCGAATGGGGAAAGCGATCATGTTCGGAGTGTTTCTCCGTGCTCAGCCGGGTAATTTGAATCATTCAAGAACTCTTTGATAGCGTGTTCGTATGCGGTCAATCATCACGGAATTTCCCAGAATGCTCCAACCACTGCGGAAATGTCCCGCGTGAATTGGCTGAGGTCGGCAATCGTTCCACGAGATCCGGGGAGCGGTCACATGGAGATCGACATCAAACACGCTCCGTGGAAGAGGTCGTCGCGATAACCGAAAGGAAGGCGAGCCGTCGGCCGCGGGCACACACTCCGACTCAAGTGGGTACCTATGGAGTGAGCGCAGCCGATCAGAATTGGGAATGCAACACTTGACGCATTCCCGTACATGCCCTGTGGATAAATCGTCCGGAAGACGACTCTCGAGAAGCGATGGGCTCGTCGATGGTCAAGCGTGCGCAGCACCTGTTCAAAGTCAGAAGCCGGGTCTCAATTCAGACTCCAGAACGAGTCCCTTTCGGAATGCTTCATCGAAATCCCGCACCGAGTTTGACCACGTCGGGGTCGATCGGCGGGAAGAGATCGTGTCGCTGTGGATTCGGACTGATTTCATTCCGAAAGGAAGCTTCAGTTCACATGACGTCAGAAGGTGCTGCGGCCCAGACCAGGGTTTCGATTCTTGGGTTCATTCCTCCCAGCTACGCGATCCTTCAGCACTCGGTCTCTCCTTTCGCTCGCGAAAATACTGCGAGAGGTTTTCCTCGTGTAGCTCGGGTCTCCCGAACATTCCCACAGACCTGGACCTCAAGTCTCGGTTGGAGCAAATGCGTCTCATAATTTACTCTCTCCTATGTATGCTCGCCAGTCGAAGGGAGTCATATGGGTGATGGGCTGAGGCTGTTCGAGGCTCGAACGAGTATCGAGTGGGAGCGGATTCGCAAACTAGTCGTTATGAAGCCGCATGAATAATTGAACGTCTCACGCGCATATTTGCCTGAATTTCCGACGAAATGTACAGTCTGAGCTCGCTTGCTCTGAATGTAAAGAAAACCAGGACGACCACCGCGCTCAGATACAAGATTAATGGAATGTATTTTCCCTGAACGTTTCATCGGAGCGAACGGTGGAACAATATTCCAGATTAGTTTCGGCGAGAACTCCGATCAGCTGAGAGCGTCTTACACAACGGCAGGCCTTGCGAAGAGGAATCGATTCGTTCCGTGGGAATCACTTCGATGTTTCCCTCCGAATATCTTCTCCCGAAATCGCGTCGGGAGAGCATTCGACTCATTTCGAGGACACTTCCTGCGGAGCTCGCATCAGATGTGCTCGAGATCGATCGAGGTGTAAAATTCGTCTCTTCAGAATAAACCTGCTGCGAATCATTCGTGTGAATTCCGTGTTCGTTGTGGATCATCGCGACAGCCGAACCATTCTCGCGAGAAAATCTGGGAATTCGCAAGAATGATCTGGGCATAACCCCGCGAGTCAAGAGCTCCAATTATCACATTCCCCGAGCTGACTGCGTCTGTCCCCGAAGCCGAGAGGAGACTGCTGAACTGCGACGACTTGGGGGAAGTTAAGGTATGTACACCGCAACATGACTACACTCGCTTTGCTTACACTCACTCGGCAGCAGAACCTCCATGAACATTTATTGATTTCGTGCGAGGTTCTACCGATGTTCCCGCTTGAAAGTCATGAGCTCGGCCCCAACTCCCCTTTTGTCGCCGCAGCAAGCGAAGAATATTCGGACCGCCGAACGTTCAAAATGGACCCCCCTCGCGCTCCCGCCATTATGAACATCGTCTCCCTGCAATGCATCAGTTTCAGCGCCAGCTGCAGCCGCAGGTGACAACGTCGAAACTTCGCCGCCCTGGTTTTGGTTCATTAAATCTGAAAAGACTGCTGCTGCCTTCGGCAGCAATGACGACAAAAGCGAAGGCGGCGCGAAGGCATCCCTCTCGAGACGTGTAGGGAAATACGGGAGCGATCTTATTTTTTCTATCATGCTCTGTGTTCGCGCGTCTTCTGAACGGGCCACTCTGAATCGGGCGAGATGAGAACGGAATCATTCGGTGATGTCTATAAGATGTCGACGGGGTCAAGTTATAAATCGCTCCCTCCGGTGTCCTAGCCCGGTGCAAGACTAGAAGAGCTGATGTTTCGAGGTGTTACGTTTCGGTGTGGGCTTGGATCCGCGATCATGAGGACTGAGGACCAATTTCGTATGGAGACTCGACGATACCAAACGCAAAACGTTCTTCGAAATCGATCCGAAGGTCTCTCCCGCAATATGCGGAAGCAATCGTATCTCTGTCGACCAGAGATTCGGAGCGAGGAAATCTGCTGAAGTCGAGCAGCTGACGGGAGTGAGAGAGACAGGATGTGATACTTGGCGTGCTCATGAGCGTCTTGAGTCTGACTTCGATTGTGCCGCTGGAGTCAGTCTGAATGGGCCTTAGCCCTCAGACTTCCTTTTCGTTCGTCCGTCGTAGCGAGTCCACAAACTTATCGAGATCTGCTCGTGGTACCTACGCCTACGCCGATGCGTACAGGCCACAGGCACCTCAGCATTCCTCTAATTAGGTTTTTCGAGAATTCGGGCCGTTCACCTCCTTCAAGATCATCAGCCGAGACCCGCGGCCTAGCGCTGTTCCGTTCTCGATGATGCGGGTGACGTGTCGTTTGCGTGAGCAATGAGTTTGCTACGTTTCCACGCTCGCTTGATGTCATTGGGCGGTGACTTCTAGCGCGCGCATTCACCTTTCTGAGTATTTTTGCCGATGAACTTCAACATGGAACGCAGCCGCAAGGGCGCTATGCGTCCGAGCATAGCCGCCGAGATCGGACCCATGTACTTGCATTCAACTGAGTTTTCTTCTCCCAGAGATGTCATGCCTGTTCCAGCGACATAATTAGGTTCGATCGTCGTGGGGTGTTTGCGAAACATCTTTGTACGAATTACAGCAACGAATTGCTCGATTATCGGAATCGCACTTGATAAGAGTGTGGCGGTAACCACTAATAATTCACTGACGACTAATATAGTCGGTCGATTCTGGTGACGAACGAGTTCGGGGAAGGGAATCGTGTGTCAGGGAAGCCTTCGGTCCGCCGGATGAAGCATAGGTGAAGGGTTCTGGTGCCGAAAAAAGTTGATGGACCGGCTCGGCTCGGGTCCGCGACATGCTTCTATCGCAATCTACATGAGCGGAGACTGTGCTCATGGCGGCTGCCGTCCTCCCCTTTTACCTGTCCTGTTGCATATAATAGGCGAAACGAATGTTGTGCCAGGCGTGTTCCCCTTGGCAGCTGTCAGGACAATTGCGGAGGATGGAGAAGGCAAGCGGAAGAAGAAGCACAACCGAGCCAATGAGCTTTACGAGTCCTCGCGTTCCCTTATCGGTCATAATCGTATCATCTGATACGACTACTCCCTCCTCACCGTGAAAGAGTTGCACGAACCCGTGGAACCCCTAGCAGCATGCGGAGGGTTCCGTGAAGACGAGCCAGAACACGCGTTCTTTGAGAGGGCGTGTTTCTGTATTCGGTTAAGTCGAGACGAAGCAACGAAATCGGCCGAAATTAAAAATTGGCATCCAGATTCATCCCCTCGATCCGGGAGCCAATCAGAGCGCCATCGGCCGCCGAGGAAGTCTCGTTCCAGAAAATGGGAACAGAACGCTGTGGGAGCTTCCGGTGACGCTCTGAGACTTGTGAGCTGGGCATGATCAAGGAACTTTCTCTCAACCTGGAGAATCGATCGGAAAGGCGGATCGCTCGTCTCAGACGGAACTGTGACTGACAGTCTAAGCCCCTCTAATGTTGGTCACGGCGCCATACAGCCGCATTTTGCGGCTGCTCAGGCTGAGCGAAGAAAGCTGCGAAACTTCGGCGATATCCAGAGGCAACACGTTTTCTCCCCGTTGGCTTCCGAGACATCAGGGCTCTGGGGACTGGGGCCGCCTACGGAGCAGCTCATCCCGGAAAAATCAGAGCTCATGATTGAAGTAACGGCTGGTATGAGCGCGGGAGCATTGCGCCGGTAGAGACTCTACTTGTATGTGCAGCGAGGCAAGGCGACGGCTGTGATCGGTTCCGACACTTCATAGGGGGAAGGGGCTGTGGTTCCGAGACCGCTAGTCCGTTAAGGAGTTCAGGAACATCCATGTTCACATCTCAGTGAATCGCTCCCTAATTAATCAAGTTGGTAAACCAATCGATCGGGTTCCATCTATGAAGAATGATTGATGTGGGGATCGTCGCAGAAAATCGAGTTTTCAAAAATGGTGTCGGACAAGGCTGCGATTCATTCCATGAACATTTATAGATCAGCTCTATCGGATCAATTCCCCGTTAAGAGTCAGATATTCCATAACAAGATCTCAGAAACAATTTGCGTGCCCCTGCCACGTCTTGGAGCAGAGGTGAGTCATTCAGCTGCGTTCATATGCCATCGATCGTATTTTTAATTGTATTCGGCCAACGAGCTGCACGCAGCTCGATGATCTTGCTTTACCGATGGGAACGAGAGCGCGGGGGAACCCGAATTCCCCTATAGCTGTATTCGCTGTCTCAGATGTTGCTGAGCGCGACAGCTTCCTTCCCGGACGTACTTCCAGCAGAATGGAGCCGGTCTTCTGAATCTTTCGCTCGCAGCCCTCTAGACTTCAGAAGCCTCACAAGAGACTTTCTATGGACAGATAAGTCATTCTATGGCAGAGATCCTTGAGGAAGTTTCCACTTACCGAAGGTTCCAAGGGGCGGAACTCTTCGTGCTCATCGGAACATAACAGGCAGGGGACAAGAAACTCGGGAGCTCTTGTGCCCGACTCGCTCCTCCAAGCAACCGGAGTCGTTGAAATCCAGTGGAGTATACCGACGAGGTCTGCCAAGGTCGGGACGACCACTTGCTCTAGTCCTCGCCGGGTCTCGATCAGAAGTAGTCCTCGTCCGCTCACCGAGCGTGGCTCATCGGAACGGAGCTCCGACGGTGCGACTCGCTTGGTGTGAAAGGAGCGCGGGACTGTCGTTCGCGGAATGAGGTGGACAAATGCGGTTGGAGTCGAATCGAATCGTGACGACGAGTCGCAAGACGATGAGGTTGTTCATCTGAACGTTGTGTGTGCCATTGTGCGCCGAGTGAACGACGTCCATCTATCTGTTCGTACGTTCGGTCTACCCGGGCACCGGTTCTCGGCAATCTGTGTGAAGAAGACTATTGCACATAAACGGAGGCCTCATCACCCGAATCACTGCACAACTCCCCGTTTTTCCCCAGGGTCCATCTACTTCATTGGGAGTAAACGATTTGACGACGACGTCGTTCTTACGTCTCCACGTGATGGACGGATACGTATAAAATGAAGTGTCGGATTGGTGGAGACGGTGCGGTGTGCTGCCGTCGGCGGAAGCGCCGCTGATAGCCTGAGGGATTCGGCAGTCGGAGCTGAGTGACCGAAACCTCCGCGAACCATCGGATCTAATGCCGAATGCGAAGATCAGGGATCGGTGACCGCGAATTATTTGAAGCAGGGAAATCTCTCCGGGTTTCTGCCCCGCGGGAGCTTATCGCACACATTCAATACCATTTGTGAATTATTACCCATCAGCTGGTCGCACGAATTAATATCTGAATACGCGGGCTCATTAGGCGCGTCTATTCTGAAGAGGTCGTGACATTTAAATAGAACATCGAAGTGGTATTTGTTTATCGACCGGACTGCTCATGGTCTTTTGATAATAATAATGATACCTTATCAATTCCTGATTCAGCCCTCCATTTTTTTTGAAGAAACCCACTACGGTGAAATATGACACTGATTCCGGGACTCTAATTCGAGCTTGGAGGACCGAGGTGGCGCCTGTGGAGGTTACCTCCGGAGCATATCAGTTCGTCCTGAGCAATCAAGCCCACAGCATTCCATTAAGGTACTTGTCACGACCGATTCCTGATCTCGCGCTCTTTATTTTATTCACTAATTGAATCGGAAGGGGTCGAACCGTACCCTCCGGAGGCGGCTAGTGGCTGTTTTGAGCGACCGTGCGACCTTTTATGCTCATGATTGATTTGTGGCCCATGAATTAGAGCCATCTCGTAGTAATTCTAATTGCCCGAGGAAATTCGGTCAAATCGGATCGCTTTGCATCGTGAGGGTCTCATCGACTTCGAGTTCGCAACAGGGATTGGCGAAGTTTCTCTCGGGAGGGGAAATTATTAGAAATAGATTATTCGCACCCACTCTACAGCGCTCTTCCCTGGTCCAGATGTACCTCGTGGAAATCGACGAGATTCAGTAGTTAACCCCGGAGCATCCGCCTCTTCCACGACACCGACGGTCACCTTTTCGGGCGACCTGAAACCCTTCAGTCAGGTTGTGGGTTTACAGCGCTCGGCGCTCAAATCCTCCCGCCTGGTGGGCGTGAACGGGGGCGTTAGAGTGGGGAATGAATTTCGGGCATCAAGCACTTCATTGCGAGGAAATTCTCTGAAATCAAAAGACCTCGAGGCAGCCGAGAGTCGCGCTTCTCCAAAATGAAGGCGGGAAAGTTTTGGGGGCCGCGAAGCACTGGAGAAAAATCGAGATGCAAAAGTATTAAGTTGAGTTTTGCTCCGCAACACAGCCCAGCGGAACGTAACTCGCTTCGCTTTACGCGCTCGCTTGCACGATTCTCTTTCGCACACGCTACGTCATTCAAGCCTGAATTCAAAATTGTCCCCCGCTTGCTTTTTTGGATCCCTTCCAAAGCGGTGAGCACCGGATTGTTTGTCACATCTCAGGCCGCAGAGCGCGGTCTCGTATTCGTGGGATCGTTCAACTAACCCAATGACTACGAGATTGATGTCCCCGAGCTTCCGAGCCGCATCTGGCTCGATTCGGCCAGTCTATGCCACGAGAGCAAGCGCGAAGCCAGTCTTGTGACCAGCGGGAATAACTTCAGATATTCCCTCGATCTCTCGAGACCCTCGTCATCTGACCCTTTCCGCTCGTCCAGGACCGAGGTTCCGACTTCACAATATTCGGGACTCTTCCCACCGAACCCCCTCCCCACCGAAAGTTCGATACTCGAAATTCCGGCCTCCGAAACCTCGGGCATGGAGGTTGCATCTCTCGACCCACCCCATCGCAAACACAAGAGCTCATGTCTCCACTGGAAATCCGGGTTCGGATCCAGCCCAGGCGAAGAAGACAAACTCGAGCCATGAGAGAGGTGAACGCCGATTGCGGTTCCGTCTGGCATGGCTGCGATGATAACAAGGTGGCGGCTGCTACTGCAGCCGGAGCACCTCAGCCACGTCTGTGGTGCAATTAGGTTAATGATATCGTTAGGTACGAATCAATTTACGTGAAAGATGGTTCCAATGCAGGTTTAATCTCCGAATAATTGCTCTTTGCAAGCGGAAGGCGCGCTTCACGCCTCCTGTGGTCACAGCCGCAACCTCCTGTCGCAACGGAATGCTTAGCAGAAAGGAATACCCTGCCGGTTCCAGTCGGGTCAGATATCGGATCGCTGCAGCCGACTTCAGCGAAGAAAAAAATAGTTCTTGTATATCTATATTCGGGGTTCTGTATTTCCGCTTGTTATGATATGCTCCTCTGTCGTTCTCTTATCGCCGAGTATTGATATATTAGAGACGAGTCTCCCCGGTGAGGCCTTTCCGAATCGCTTCATTTCCGCTGTCGCTTTCGCGGAGTGTCCTTCAGGTGCGAGATTGAAATTTTACCGTCCGACATTGCTGGGGGCCGGGATAAAGGGCAAAAAAGTCTCTGAGCGACCGCAACGCCGAATCCGATGACGATTCTTCGTTTCACCTCGATCTATAGAATGGATCTGGGGGCCTTATTGGATATCACAGTCTCAAGGGGTTTGAAATCAATTCCCATCAGCCGAACTTACGGCGCGTCCCGTCCCGTGTCATCGAGGAGGGGCATGCGTCACTGCGGAGCT